AGTAGCCAGAATTACAGGCATGTGCTACCACGCCCGGCTGATTTTTTGATTTATTGTAGAGATGAGGTCTCGCTGCCCAGGCGGGTCTCGAACCCGCGGGCTCAGGCAATCCACTCACCTCAGCCTCCCAAAGGCACGGGATTACAGGCTGAGCCACCGAGCCCGGCTCTTTTTATATTTTTTATTTTCTACTGTTCTATATTAGCTTCATAATCAGAAAAAAACGACTTACAAATTCTCAAGGTGATATTTGGGCCTACAGTCGTTACACTGGTGCTCTAAACATTTTTAAAGATGGAGGATTCATTGGTAGGGCACTTGTCAACAGGGTGCATCCTTAGCACATGAGCAGTCCTTTATTACTATGGAAGTTGTCACCCTCACCTCCACCCTGCTTTATCTTCCTCATCACACTCTCCCAGATTCTCAACACTAGATGTAGTCAGGTCTACCTGCAGGCTTGAAGCGCCCTCTGAGACTTCTTTTCTCTCTCAACCCATGTCATTCTCATTCCAGGTTCACTTCCTCCAAGAAGATTGCCCTGAATAAGAACAAACAAGAACATTTTCCGAGTGCCACCTGGGACCACAGCACAGGGATGGATGGGCGTTTCATGCAGATATCCATTCCCTATTTTTCTGTTTCCCTTCAGCAACCAAGGGCAGAGCTTCAGCCCCAGCCAAATTCTTGGTTTTCTGAGACTGAGTCTGAGAAAGACTTGAAAAGAATCCACTCTATTTCTCCTAAGACATCTGTTTTTCTTTGGGGGAATAACCTTGGAAATGTTATTGATTTCTTCATGGTTTTTCTATTTGGTTTCAGGATGCTTTATTGGCTTGGTTAGTTTAAAAATTGGTTTGTAAACCCCTTAAAACTTTAAAAAAAAAAAAAAGAATAGGAACTATAATGAAAATTTGCATTTCCAAGGCTCCTTTTCACCAAAGACCTCAAAACTTGACAACAAATCTTAGGTTGCTGGAGAACTAGTAACATTCTATAGGGATGGGTGGGGAGGAAAAAGCATTCAAGACTGAGATGACATTGTTATATTTGCCTAATTAAATGTGTTGCCATTTAAAGAGAATGACTCCATGAAGCTGGTTCACCAGGAATTCAGCTTGTCTTTTGTTTTTCTTTCTCCTCAGAAAATTCTAGCTACAACCTGCTTGTTGCATTGTTTGGTTGAAGTTATCACCTATTGCTCCAACAAGAAAAAAGGAACAACCCATTTTACCGTGAATTCTCAATTCACAAGCATGCAGTGTTGTTTATGGGAAGGGACTGCCCTTACAACTATGTCAATTTGGGGTCGGTTCAAAAGGCATGAAATAAAGCCACCTCTTGGGGATGTGCACATACTTTATGGATTCTCCTTGGTTGCAGGGGCCACCTTTGCTCACGTACTGGGAACCAAGCCTCGGTGACCCTAGGGACAGAACTGGGAATGACAAGAAAGGTTCATCCCCTTAAGAGAGACCCGACCCCTCCCTGTCTGTACACCACTGACATTTATTTCTGCCTTGGCCATGTGCTCCTTCATTAGTGCTAATTTGGGGAACAGCATTTTCTTCCCTGGAGTTAGGTCCTAAGCACCAAGGCTTCTTTCTCTCTTTTGGACGCCACCATCAGTCATGCTGAACACCCATCACCCACGCACACATTGCTTTGTTATGGCTTTCATTTGCACAAAACCAGAGGAAAGCTTTCACCAAGCCCCTTTGGTGCCAAAACATCTTGACATTAATTTGTGCTAAAATAACTCAAGGACTAAAAACCTAGTCTAATACCAAAAAAGGGGACTATGATGACCCCAGGTTACAAAACAAAGGTCTTTGTGGGACCTGGTGGTTATTTTTATACAGACCATAGCAACTGTGAGCAATAAATTATACAACCTGCAGTTTTCCCATCAAGGGGGTGGGTTATGAAAGAAAATAAAACCCTGCTGTTAGTAACCAAAGACACACATGTGATGGTAGATACAGGATGTCCTTATGGAAGAAAACAAATTATGTACTTGAGTGTGCTACCTAGTGGGCTCCGTGAATGAAAGTGGCTTTACATAGTTATTCAAATAATTTTTATGCTAAAATTAAATTATACCTAATTAGCATTTTCTGCTTGGATGTGAGTATAAAATTGAACAATTTTAAAAACAGAATTCACAGGCACAGGTTTTAATGAATTATTTCTGTTCCCTTGGGAAAGATGGGAGGGCACTATATTCCATGCCTTCTAAAGACCTTCCTATGAAAGTAATCAAATTGTGTAACATGGAGAAAAAGTTTATATTCCAAGAAATCATCCCTCTTGGACCATGACAACTTTGAACAAAAATATTTTCACAAAATTTCATTTTAATCATCTTCTTTACAAAGCACAATACTTAAGACTTTTCTAAATACAACTTTAGAAAATGAAGCAAAAAAATAATCTCCATAGATGCCTGGTCGAGTCCATGCTGAATGCAAAAGAATTTTTTCAAAAGTGATACTTCCAAGCTTTTCAATATTCTTGATGGGTCCATTTTGTAAGGAGTAAAGATGGTGGCTGTTGGGGTAATGGCTCATTCGGTTCCATGATGCAGAATCCTCTTGCTGGTTAGCCCAAAGGGCAGTAATGAAGCTGGGCATGCCAACTTCTCCCTCTAGAATCGCTTCTCCCTCTCCTTATACAAAGGAAGCCAATGGCCTCTGTGAGGGGAAGATATCAGCCCTCTACATTCCATGTTGCCAGTGCCCCATGAGGGCACTCCAGCCTCTCAATTCAGTTATTAACAATCCTACTCTGAATACACATTATATAAAACTATATTATTAGAGATTTTCATGACGAGTAAGTGAGAAATTCAAACATCAAACAAACCAATCTTCATATGTATCTTATTAGGTGGTGGGAAGTCTCTGAAATCTTCAAGTTTCACGCAGAAATGCTTACAGCAGCCAAGGGGTTTAGGGATGTTCTTTGCTGCCCTTGGAAACCTGGCACTCCTGGTCCCAAGCACAATGAGCCCAAGGCTGCTGACAAGGCAATATATCCAGACATGGGAATGAAGGGTGTGAGGTTTCCTTCTTTACGTACTCCCTTCCCTTAACTGTGCCCACCCCAGGAAGACCTGGGTGTTAGGGCTCTGTAAATACTCAGAGGGAAGTGACAGCCTCAAGCAGCAAGGATGAGCACGTAAGCAAGAGGAAGGCAGGGGAAGGGAGAGAGGAAGAGACATTTATTTGTAATACTATCAATGATCAATAACATATGGTGATTTGTTTTGCATCACTCCTTCAGTGTTATCAATTCTCATTCTTTGTAGTTGTGCAAATCTATTCATATTTAGTAGTTTCACTGTAAAACTCAAGAAATAGACAAAGCAGCTTTTGAGAAACACATCAGACATCTTCAGGGGCCATTAAGGGACCACCTCCTCCACCTCTACCCCCTGAACAATCTTGCAATACAGTATGCCCTTTATTTTCAGCTAAGGATGAGAAAACAGTTACATAGGCTAAGGCTGAACTGTTCATGTGCTACAAAGATAAAGCAGACAAGCAAACATCAGTTTCCTCGGGAAGGAAAAAGCAATTCCATAAATGCAAGAGAGATCCAATGGCTACACTTCAACAAGACCCTCCTCCCATTCTCTTGGGCCAGAGGAAGGGGTTACAAGTGAGCAAGGCAAATGACACTGTGTGAATACAGTTTAAACAATAACACACACGGATAACCCAGTGCAGGAAATAATACAACTTTCCCCCCCTTGTTTTAATTTGCATTTTACTTTTATTTATTTTTGCTTTAATAATGCATATTCTGTTCACGCAAAAGGTGCAAAGGACAGGAAGCAGGGGTTTAACTTGGCTGATGAAAAATCAAGCAGGGATGACGTTTCTAATTTCATGAACAACCTAAAACTAGGAGAAACTTAAAAGTCACAGCTGGTACCACAGAACACTCCTGGCTTCACAGCTGTCTCCTCTTTTGACCTTTGGCTAGGGTGAGAGAAGCTTTGAAGATAGTGGCCTCTAGTGGACTTAGATAAGTGGTAGATTTTTAAAATTTTTTTTTATTTTTTTGAATCATGGTAGCTGCATCACAAAAGCTCCAATCAAGAGGGTGGTAAAAAGAAGGCACAGATCATTGCAAATACCAGATTTTCTCTTTCTCTTTTTGTAAATATACCATCATATATAAGCTAATATTTCTCTTAGGGTGGTGGGGTTTGCTGGCAGGGAAAGGGACAGGTTGGACCTAAAATTGCATATGTAATAGAATCCTAAAGGGGAACACAAAGCGAGACAGCTCTCAGCCTAAAGCAAAAGAACGGGATGCTCGCTTCTGACTACGTGTAGTACAAACACTAGGGGAAATCTGTGACAAAACACGATTACAAAATCATAAAATTATAAAGCTTGTAAACGAATAATTGGAAATTACATTTTATTAATGGAAAATATCATCAAAATAGTACCACTATGGACTAAACTGCCTGAGTTTTCGTTTCGCATGAGATCTCAAAGTAGAAAAGCCTTTAGCACAATTTGCTCTGTGTAAGTCACAACCAGTGCCAGCCCCAGGACTATACCACGGGGAAGATTCTCCTCTTGGATGGAATTTGTGTTGTGCTATCAAGACTTTTGTGCTAATCTTTCAAACAGGGACATGTTGAGGCAAACCTTTAATCTTTTGGCACAAGATTATTTTGGCTGGGGCAGAAAATTTGAGTCTCAGACTCAGGATGAATAATGTGACATTTCATTTATCAAGTATTCACTTTGATTGAAGAGCTTTCTTTATGTCATTCACTTCCATCTAGAAAGGAAAAAAAGAATGAAACAATGTCATAATGAGTTGGCTGGTTTTATAGAAGCTGAAAGATTATCAACCTGGTTGACTGAAGGAAAATAAGCAACCTGACCGTTTTAAAGTAGAAGTGGGTGAAATGACATCTATGAATAATCGATAGCAATGTCAGAAATGACATAAACCTAGAGAGAACAGGCACACGGACACGACGCACTAGGCAGTGGTGGGTGTTTTCATTCTCAGGCTGCCACGGTGCAAAGCTCATCAAAAGCAGCAATAATTCCAGTTTCTTAGCCAGAGGGCAAAGCAGGTGATCCTGACACACTGGGCCGGCTAGCAGTGTTGGAAGGTAGCTGCAGTTGGCTCAAGAGAGTGTCTGTCAGCACCCTCAAAGTAATGGCGAGCAGCTACCAATCCTTTCTTTAAGCAGCATGGGTCCCTATCACCACCAAGGGTGCCAACTGGAAGAGCGCTGAAAGTCCACCTCTGGTCAACTGTAACTCCCACACATTCTCTGCCACTTGGTAAATGGCAGTTGGGTCAGAGGCTACAGGGGACAGAGCTCTGATGCCCTGGCAGGACTGACATGGCCGTCAGGGAGAAATAAAGAGATGAAGAACCAGCACTACCGCATGTGGACAGCTGTGGTCCCTGGGGTCCCGGTGACCACATGACAGAAGCCAGCTGGCAACAGCCCCTCCTCCCCACAGAGTCATGCCCTCTGGCAGATACTATAATGGGGCCTCTTGGAAATGGGGTGGGGGAAGGGCTTTTCACAGGGGAGATGTTTAAGAGAAAATTCCAAATGAAAAACCCAATTTGAGGCACATTTGCTAATGTCTCCCTTACTCCCTTACTGGGCTTTCTAAAAGGGGCCCAGGAAAATTATCAAAGGAAATGTATCTAAATCTGCAGAGAAGTAACAATCATTTATTTTTAAAATAAAGCCCTGACTCTGCCCCACTCTCACTGAGCCCAGGTCTCACGGGCAGCAGGACCCTGAGGGACCCACCTGCAACCGAAGCCGGATTTTCTTCTCTTCATCCAACTCTGACAATAACTGCTTAATCTCTCGTCTGAAAAGCAAATGGCAGTGCAATTATACATAAGCCCAGAATTCTCCAATAAGAGATCAGAAACCTCTTATTATACTACAAATCCATCTGACCCTTTTACAAAGAAAATGTGGAAAAAACATTATATGTTCTTTGCATCGCTTAAAATCTGTTCCAGACAGAAAGGCTTGCTGTTATTTTCACTACCTCTGCCCAAATATATAGCTGTCAAGTGGTAGGTCTGGAAGTGACATTTGAGATCCCTTAGTCCAGTCTTTTCCCAGAAGAAGATGGGGACACGGGCCGAGTGTGATGGCCTGACTTACCCAATGACTAGATTTCAGGTATCTAGGCTTATATTCTGTCATCTTCCCTCTAAACCATTCCTTCATTGCAAGATCACTGAGCTTTAAAAGTACTTATGCGCCAGGTTTGGTGGCTCAGTCTGTAATCCCAGCACTTTGGGAGGCCGAGGTGAGAGGATTGCCTGAGCCCACGGGTTCAAGACCCACCTGGGCAACTTGGTGAGACCTCATCTCTACAATAAATCAAAAATTAGCCGGGTGTGGTAGTGCATGCCTGTAGTTTCAGCTACTTGGAAGGCTGAGGCAGAAGGATGACTGGAGCCCAGCAGGTTGAGGCTGTGGTGGCCGGGAGCAGTCTGGGTGACAGAGTGAGACTCCAACTCAAAAAAAAAAAGTACTTATGTATCAATTTTTATCATGGATATTCTTACCGCTCCATTTATATTTCCTTTATTTTCAAGAGAATTTTAAATTAATAAAAGGTTACTGGTATGTTTTCACTGGTTCTCACAAAATTCTACATAGTAAGACCCACTTAGAGGTAAAATAACTGAACTAATGATATGGCAATCATGTCCTAGAGAGGCAGGCATGACTTAGGAGCCAGGGCCTAATGTCCTCTCCATCATTAAATAATGAAGTGGAACAAAATAATCACCTTGTAAAGTCAGGGTTCCATACTTAGGACACTGCAATCATCCAAACACTGGGCAGAGAGCTGTCCTCCATTCTAAGGTATCAAACGCTCCACTTTACATATACATTTTTACCAGATTAGGTTGGGAAAAAAATGTTAAACCAAAGACTGCATAAACACTGCAGAAAATAAGGTAAAAGTTATATTGTATTTACTCACTTCAGATGAGTACCATAATGGTCCCTATACTTGAGACAGAGTCCTGGCCCTGCTGTTAACACATTGGGTTATCCGAGACTAACACGTTGTGATTCATTACTGTATATACTCAAGCATACATTATGCACTCATATCTCAGCGGGTACTACTTAGGGCTTAGGAAAGAAGGTGAGATCCTAAGCATGGTACAACCCCAGGAAGACTGGCAGGCAAAGCCTAGAGTGATCCAGGTGGGGGGGGGGGGGTTAACTGGGGAAGGTGATCCAAAAAAAGTCACTAAAACTTGAACTAGTAAAAATGGGTATAAGTCTATGAGGAGGAAGAAAGATGGAGAAATTGATGGAGAAAAGCCAAGGCAGATGCAGGAAGGTGAGAACCAGTGCATTTGGAGATGAGGAAAGTTGGCATGGACTTGAGTCAAAGGCTAAAAGGAAAGTGACTCCAAGATCTAAGACAAGAGACTAGAGGGGACCCACTGACCCTAGCTACTAAGGCCAGGCCGAGGTAGGCTGCGAAAGCTAGGTCTAGGAAGAGGCGCTACTATGAGGTGTTGATTCAAGAAATGTCTGGGAAGGGCAATTCTGGTCAATGATTTGTAGGATTCACAGTAGAGGGAGAAACACAGGGTGTGGCAGGCCCAAAGCACAGGCCATTTCAGACGTTCCAGGCACCTCTCAGAGGGTCCAAAGGGCCAAAGCCCTAGATCAAGCCAGTTTGATTCCATGATGGTCCTGTTTAGAAGGCTGAGAACCAATACTGTGGGTTTTCTGGGACCATAAGCTCACCATCTAGGCAAGGGGCACATGTCACCTGCACATGGATGGGGTCTTTGGGTACTCAAACCTGTAACCTCTAGAGCCAGACAGGAGTTGGGAACTTTAAGGAGTTAGAGGTAGCCTGGTTGGTCGTCCCAGGAGACCCTCCCAAGTACCATCTTGCCAGTCCTGCATATTTATTAGATGAGTCTCTTCAGGCAAGGGTAAGTCCAAGGGGCCTCAATTTCATATGATACCTCCCAACCTGAGTGTAGTAGAACCTGCTTAGAGTCACACCATTCAAAGTGAGTTCCATGGAACACTCATCATAGGGTGCTCTAGAAAAAAAGGGGTTCTATGATTAAGGAGGCTTGAGAAACACTGCATATGCTAACCCCTTCATCCTTCCAATGGACAGTGAAAGTTCTGAAAAGTCCTTCAGAGAAGAAATTAACTTTGCTGAACCCAAAGTGATCACAAAACATTTCAGGGTCCTTCAGCCCTTCAGGAAGAGGTGGGTGACAGGTTTCTACCAGCCCCAGATTCCCTCTCCAGGCATGACTGCAGGACTCCAGTCTCATTTCCCACCACCAGCCTGGGCACCTCCTGATCCAAGGACGCCAGTCACTTGGGGATGCATTGACCTACCAGGCAGTCCCATGTGCCCAGGACTCTGCGGGCTGTTCCCGCCGCTAAAGTGGTCTGCTCTTGGCCATCCTAGATCATTGTTCAAAATCCCACTCTGGAAATACTTCTTTGAGATACCCTCCCCTGATAACCTCAAGAAAGGGCTAACTGATCCCTAAACTCTCTGAGCCTCTGTTTACTCAGATAAGCATCTCCCTACTTTGAATCCTCCTACCAGTCATGTCATTGCAAATCGCATCCGGGTGATATGTATGTATGATATTTATTTGTGTGGATAGGTTTTTCTCCCCATCTAAATGCTTCTTGAGGATTAGAGATGCGGTGAGAGTATGTATGTAGACATGCATAGAGAAAGGCCCTCGAGTCTCCTGGTGAGAACAACTTGCTGAGTATGAAGTCTCAGGTTTCAAGATTCACTGCATCTTCTTCATAATCACAGCCCTTCCATGCAGGCCAACCACTTCATCTGGAAGCTAAGTGAAGAAATTGCCACTTTTTCTGTTGCTAGAGGAAAAGCTGGCTGTTGGGATTATTTAAGAAGTGGTATACATACATACTATATTTTAGGGGAGAGTTAAAGAATTTTCTTTCTAGCAGCCTGCTGAGAGTATCGGTTCTTACAACAGACTCATCCCTGTCTGCCCTCTGGTGCCCTTCCTGCATGCATTAGGTCTAGCATAAGCACACAGCATAATTTAAGTATAAAGTAAGCCTCTCGGGGTCCATACCACTCCCCTACTGGGGAGGCCTGGCCCACCCTCCAGGGTAGGCTGGGACCCAAGCTTTCAGAACTAAGCTCTGGCCTGGTGGAGAGCAACCCACTGGCGGCTGCAAAGGGTCCCCGGGCACTCACTTCTGCTGGTCCTTCATGGTCTCGATGATGCTCCTCAGCTCGCGGACCTGTGTCCTTAGCTCCTCCACGGCCGCCTGGCTGCTGGCTGCAGGCTCCATCTTTGGTTTTCCTTCAGTGCCGAACAGAGATGGGGAGTTGGCTCTGTGTCCAGCTGTTCCCAAAGAGGATGGCAGGGAGGGGGGCGCCACTGAGGACAGAGAGGCTGGCCCACTGCTGCCTGCTGCCATGGTCCCCGGCTTGGGCGGCAGGGATGCTTTGTTGTCGGACACCTGTGATGAGGGAAGGTGGGAAGGATTCAGGGCCAGGGATTCATGTGCTGTGCCTCCCTGTCCTAGTTAGTCAAACCTTCCATCAACATCACTGTCCCTGCCTCTTTCTACCACTCCACTCACTTATTCCTTCATCCACAAGCCATGAAGGGCCTACTTGGGGTGAGCATCCCCACCCCCCACCCAAGTGCTACCTTCTATGTATTTTAAATTTGGCCTTGTTTCTGGACAGACCAATCCTAATTGGTTTAATATACATGTAGAGATGCCCAACTACTTACCAGGTGCAACAAACTCTGAAGTGACCAAGACATTAAGGCATTCTTCTGGCCCTCAGGGAGCTCAGAACCCAGCAGGGCGTAGACAGACAGACAAACCAACACACTGCAGATGAGAGGGAACACTGCACAGAGGGAGTTAAGCACAGAGAGCCCAGAAACATGTAAAAGTGGCCAACCATCCAGGAGAGCAGGCATTGGGAAGGAGGCACTGACAGCCCTTTCTTGGAGGAGGACTAGGAAGTGGCCAGAGGAAGCTACAGGAGGAGGGAACATACCAGGCAAAGGCCTGGAGACCAGAGAGCAAGACACATTGGTTGGAAGCACGGCTAGAACATCAGGGGGCAGAGGAGCTAGGGAGGGAGAACTGGGAAGTGGAAGGGGCTAGGTGAAAGGGTGAAAAAAGATAGTCTGCTGTGCTAAGAATCACCCTGGCTGCAGAAGGGTTTAGGAGTTGGCGGGTCTGGAGTGAGAGAGACCTGCTGGGACTTATACAATGAAAGCTAGAGTTGGTCAGGTTTTGACCTAGGTGGTGGCCAAGAAGATAGAGATAAGTCGACCTTGAAAGATGTGACGAAGGCAGGTGCACTCCATAGAGTGCCAGGCATCATTTATGGTTCTGGGGTGGAGAGTGGGTGAGGCAGATATAGTCTTTGCCCTCATGTGGCCAGGGGGATGTGGTCCTGAACAAGCTATAGAGAGTGAAGGAGGAAGGACAGATCAAGGGCCGGGGGCGGGGGGTGTGGAGGAACCAGGCATCAGGGTGATTCCTTTCATGGGAGAAAGAACAGGTTGAAGGGTCAGAGAACGACTTCAGTTTTAGACATACTGAATTTTAAGAGCCCCTGGTATTTGGGAAAGAGGGGTAAACGAAGGATGAATAGAGACCAGAAGAGGAGACTAGCTTATGGAAACCCTCTACAGAAATTTCCACAAGAAAAAAATGGTGGGGTAAATGGGTGAAGGGTACTGAGAGGAAAACCGGGGGAGCCCATCTGGTGAAACAAGAGAGACAGAAACCTGATCACTGTCAATCAGTACCTGAATGGGAGGCGAGGGGTGTGGCCTACACATTTAGCACTCTCTTTCCAGAACTTTAGTTGAGGTGGGAAGACACGAGCGGGGTGGAAAGTGTACTCATGCAGAAGCCTCAGGAGGAGACAGGATCAGAGAAGGGTTTTGTGTACTTCCCAAGATGGAGGAGACCCTGAGCTGCTGAAAGAACCAGTAGAAGGCTGGGCTGAAGATGGCGGAGACGGGTGGGGGGAGCCTGATGGGGAATTGCCCTGAGGAGGCCAGAAGGGCCCAGAAAGCGAGACGGTCATGGGAAGAGGGGCACCTGGCAGGTCCAGGGGAGGAAATACCAGCAGGGAGTTGGTAGGTAGGTAGGGAGGATAGAAAGCAGTGAGCCAGGACATTGGGAGGTAAAGGGGTGAGGAGCTTGGCAATGTGGCTGCAGGAATCCTTCCAGCAGCAGACGCCCAGCCGGCCACCCCAGGGCAGGAGCCAAGAAGGGGCTCGGCTGGCACACGAGGCACAGTCTGGATTCAGGCTGTGCTACAGGGAGAGACTGGGCAGAGAGAGCCAAAAGCAGATGGGCCATCATTCCCAGCCTCTCTGCTCGCCTTTTCTCTGCCAAGTTACCATTGAGGAAAAGCGCTCTCTGCTGCCAGGGATAGCAATCCGCCAGCCTGTGCTTTATTGTTAGTAGGAGTTATAGTAAGAGGGAAGAGGAACTGACATTTATGGAGCATGGATCACATGCCGGATGTCGGCTAGACAATTTAAAGGAGGATCAATTGGCATGAGCATTTTGCCAAGCAGGAAACTGAGGCTTACAGAGGTGGTAGAGTAATTTACCAAGTCTCATAGCTAATAATTGGCTCAACTGGGAGTCAATCACCTTACTATCAGCTGGGGCCCTCAAGCCCAGCACTGTGACTGTGGCTGCCAGAGTCTGAAGATTTACGCTCTCCCTTCCTTCTTTTCTTTGCTTATTATCTATTCCTGAGCTCATGTCTTTCCTCATCTCCCCTCCTGCATCCTTATGTGCCTCTCATACCTTCTGTGACCCACCAGTGCCCTTACACTGATTGACTTCCAGACACTTCTTGAATCAATACTGCTCTTGGCATTTCCTATATGACTCACTCTCAGCCCATTTCTGCTAACGAGTACTTTTTAAAGCCTTCACAGAGTATAGGTCACCACACTCCCTGATCAAATTAGTTCAAGTGGAATTTCTAGAAGCACTGAAGAACACGACATGACAACTCCAGGGAAAGGAAATAGGCTAATAGGATAGAACTACACAAATCAGAAATGTGAAAAGCCACTGTGTACCAGTAGATGTCACTGTAGAGACACCCCAGGGATGTCCAAGAGAAGGAAACTATAGGTATCTGTGGTCACTAGAAAAAAATAGGTCTAAATCCAATTTATGCAAATAGAACTCTTTTATAAAGTAAGAATGCTTCAGTTTTGTGAATAATTACCACTGATCTGTTGTATAGGATCATGTTTTGCTTACTGTGTAGTATTTTTAAGAAAATCTATCTAAGCCAGGCTCGGTGGCTCAGCCTGTAATCCCGCGCTTTGGGAGGCTGAGGTGAGTGGATTGCCTGAGCCCGCGGGTTTGAGACCCGCCCCGGCAACTTGGCGAGACCTCATCTCTACAATAAATCAAAAAATTAGCTGGGCGTGGTAGCGCGCGCCTGTAGTTCCAGCTACTTGGAAGGTTGAGGCGGAAGGATCGCCGGAGCCCAGCAGGTCGAGCCTGCGGTGGCCGGGAGTGGCCACTGCACTACAGTCTGGGCGACAAAGTGACTTCAACTCAAAAAAAAAAAAAAAGAAAAGAAAATCTATCTATGTAAATTCTAAAATCTATAGAAAGGGAAAATCTCACAGTAACCTTTGATTTCTTTATGCTAATTCCTGCCTCAAATGACTACAGTTTTCTACTTTTAGACAGAAAGAAGTTGCTAATGTTCAGAGACAAAATAATCCCAACTGATTAGGTTTTCTTAGTTCCGGAAAACAGACTTTTAAAATCTTCGTTTGGCTGGGCACGATGGTTCATGCCTATAATCCAAGCACTTTGGAAGGCGTAGGCAAGAGGATTGCCTGAGCTCAGGGGTTCGAGACCAGCCTGGGAAACTTGGTGAGACCTCATCTAAAGAAAAATTAGCCGGCCGTGGTAGTGCATGCCTGTAGTTCCAGCTACTTAGAAGGCTGAGGTGGAAGGATCACCTGGGGCCAGCAGGTCGAGGCTGCAGTGGCCGTGAGTGTACCACTATGCTCCAGCTGACAACAGAGTGAGACCCCGACTCAAAAAAACAAATTGGTTTGTATTCGTGGGAAGAACAAAATTTGTATAGGGTACTCTTCAAAAGTTACATGCAGTAGTTAAACGATGTCTTCTTTGTTTCTCACAAACCAATAATTTAAAATAGCTATACCAAATTAACATGTCTTTAGACTATAAATATAGAATATGAATCCAAATCAGTTTTATCTTTAAGAGACCACATTAGTTATTTATATTTATGATCTTGCAACTATAATTTGTGACCAGCTTTGAACATAAATGACAAGATCTGTGGGCAGACAGCGAAGTATTTAATATGTTTAATGTATTCTCTCTAGACACTTCAAGGCTTTTAAAGTTGTTTTGGTTGCAGTGATGGTAGTGGTGTGTGATGGAATCTGTGCATGTGTGCATGATGGTATGAAGAGATCAAATCACAAGAAAAAAATATAAAAAATAAACAACTGAACTTGTAACTCAGGGATTCTGCCCAGTTTTGGAGACTTTGCAACACGCCTCAGGGATTTTGATGACTCAGGGAATCACTGTCACTGAAGAATGACAAACACCTGCACTGTCTGTTTATCCTTGTTTGGTTTATAACCATCATGAGCACATGCAAGAAATGATAGGGACATCCTCGCCATGGCTGGTCACTCACTTGGGATATGGTAACAGTCTTTGAAGTTTTCTTTGACGCGTCCACTCCTCTGTGCACAAGCGAAATATGTTCCTCCTTATCTTCTTCGGGACTTGGGGAGTCGAAGATATCAGGGCTTGAAAGAGAGGACTGGATAAAGTCAAAAGAAAGTGCTTTTGTCAGAACTATACCTTAGCTGATATAGTTTTTGTTAATGTATCCTGTATGCTTTCCAATGCACTTGGCACGTCTATTTTATCTCCTCATTATAACCTTGTGAGGCTGAAAGTGTGCTGTTATCTGTGCAGTAGAGATAGTTGCACAGCTGGTTAGTGGCAGAACTAAAAATAAGAAGCAAAGTCTCCTAAGCCAGAACTCCTTCCACAGATGCCCATCAATCACTTCATCCTTGTAAGCATCCGTTTGTCCATCCTTTCCTGCTCCCTTTCCTCCATTCTCTAAACATTTGCTATTGGCCGGGCACGGTGGCTCACGCCTGTAATCCCAGCACTTTGGGAGATTGAGGCAAGAGGACTGCTTGAGCCCAGGAGTTCGAGACCAGCCTGGCCAACATAGTAAGTCCTTGTCTCCACAAAGAATAAATTTTAAAAATTAGCCAGGTGTGGTGGCACGTGCCTATAGTTCCAGTTACTTCGGAGGCCAAGACAGGAGGATCACCTGAGCCCAGGAGATTGAGGCTGTGGTGAGCTGTGATTGTGTCACTGCACTCTAGCCTGGGTGACAGAGTGAGACCCTGACTCAAAAAAATGTTGCTATCATGTGCCAAGCCCTGAGCTTGGTACTGTAGACTCAGCAGTGGCATGCACACAGTTCCTGCCTTTCCAGAGCACACAATCTGTTGGAAAAGAACATATAGGTCAACAGGAGGCTGTCTCTCCTCCATTCCCTCACCTTCCTTTTCCTTGACCCTTTTCCAGAATCACTGAATCTGCTGCATCCTGACGTGCCTTAAAGGATTTGTCTGAGAGGAAACCGTTTCCAGGGGCAAGGGATCACTAAGCTTGTGGTCCAGCGACCAGTGTTTCCATGGCCTGAGAGCACAGCCCTGCCTACTGGTACAACAAGCTCATATTTACTTTGGTATCTGCTGCTAAACCTCTGCTCTCATTACCATAGACAGGCAACATCCACTTTGGAGTCTGTATCCGCTGAAGTGTATTTAGAGTGGCAGCATCTTTTGGTAAAGCATGGGAACAACACTTCTCTTTCTGTCTCACTGTGAAGATCACTCCACCAGTCATAAGCTGGATGAAGGGGAAGCAACTCACTAGAATTCACTTGGTCATAAACAATTACTGGGCTAGAATTTCCCTGTTTTAGAAAGGGGGAATGAAAATAAGAGTTCCTATAGTAAAGATTCCTTTATAATGAAGAATCTTCCAGAGAACTCTTTGGAAGAGGTCACATTCAACCTCATCTCTGCCTTCTACCCCAATAGTGGAAAAATAGTCCACTTGGTATCATTATAGAAAAGTTATACCCACAAATATTGTTTGTTTTCTTGTTTACTTACTAAGGCAGAAACCTAACACATTTTTAGGGACTTTTAAAGCAAAGTTTTCAATTGAAGAGGTCTTATTTGTTAATCTTCATTTAATCTGAAAATCCAATTACCTAGAATAACATCCCCTCCACCATCACCAAGCTTTCTTATTAATCTAGGCTTAACTGCTTAACCACCATGCCATGCCTGGATCCTTTCATTTTGAGATTTTATTCAAAAAGCTAGTTTCCTCCTATCCAACCTATGGTTCATGAGCTGCCTATCAAACCTTGCTCTTTGAATCTGTAAACATAAAAAGCTTCAACTAGGGTGAGAGGCCCCTGGCTGGGGGAATCATGACTGGAGCATTTCTTCCATCAGCTCCCCCTAATGGCCTTTTAGGAATATGCCTATCTCCATCAATCCTCCATTTTGCTATGAAAACCCACAGGTGCTGGCTGGAAGAAGAGTAAATAGAAACTCAACATACACACCCAAATGGGGATGGATGGGAATGAAGGGAAGACTGTATAGTAATTATACTTCTTTAAAGCACAGTTGCAGTTTTAAGTCTGCAAATAAATTGACTCCATATAAAATGCAAACTTTGAGTTGCAATGCTGTAAGCTTTCTTACAGTGACAATATACTTCTCCTTCCAGTTGAATATTTGGTATCTGGCACAGTGCTGAGCCCAAAGGGGATAAATGTTTATAAATATCTGTTGAATGAATGAATGAAAAACTGTGTAGTCTAAAGTCAGAATGAAGATGAGATTCCCTTACGTGGTCCCCCAACTATATACAAACTACCAGACGTGGGATGAATGTACCAAGGGTGAGGCAGGAGATGGTAACTGAATCTCTCTGTATTTAATTCTGGAAGTCACAAGGCTCTCTCGATTTTGAAGAGTTAGGAAGAATGTGGAAGGAAAAAAATGATGTCGGATTTAGAGAGAAGATGTAGGAGGTAGGATTGAAAATTGAAATACAGAGATACTAAGGAGCAAAAAAATAGGTTGTGAGTACATGTTGGGATGAGGTGTGGACAGCTAAGAAGGAGAGGGGAAAGAAGACAGTGCTGGCAAAGAACTCTATATAAGAATGAAAAAGCAAACCATTTTTTCAAGTCTTCTTCCCCAAAAGGTATCAATACAAAGTTAGACTTGTCTTATACAAAGAGAAAAAATGGGATGATTTAATCATATTTCCAAACTCAGTAGATATGAGAGAAGAGGTTCCAAGGAAGCAGCATTAAGTGGGATCAGTGATAACATAAAAATACAAAGTGTCCTGCAAAACCAGCAAAAGGTTAATTTCGTGGTGTAACTAGGTGGAGGTTATAAGGACTTAAACCTGCCAGGATAAGGCAATATGCTGGATAGGGATAGGGATAGATAAAACACACACACACACACACACACACACACACACACACACACACACACACAGAGAGAGAGAGAGAAATCTCACATATCTCACATACACAACCTGTAGAAGATAAATCTTTGCGGAGGGGACAATTGCAACTTGTGGCAAAAATAAAACATGCATTTCCCCTTGACCCACTTTTAGAAGATGTTTACCCAAGTGAATAATTTTGAAGCAGCATCAAGATTTTTCCACAGTGACATTCACTTGAGTGTTGTTTGTAACGAAGAACTGGAAACAACATAAATGTCCAATAATAGTACACTGGTTAAATCAGTTCTCACATATGCATAGGTCAGAACAGTGGGCAGCCATGAAATGTGATATTATGAAAGAACGTGTAACAGTTGGGGAGCAAGGTACACAATACAAGGGAGAAAGCAAGTTTCAAAACAATGTGTACTATGTAATCCCATTTGCAAATAAATAATTTCATATATACATATAGAATTTTTTTAAGCTAAGGATATACAGCAAGAGGTTAACACTTATTGGCTCTGGGGAGCAGCATTACAGGCAACTTTTTTCTTTATACATTTTGTTGTTCAAATTTGGTGCAATAAATGTATAATCAGTTTACAATAAGAAGTTATTCAAAATGACCCAAACAAAACACTTCTATGGGTTATCTTGAGGGTTCTGATTGGTCTCTCCTACACGACCAGGTGCCTTGTATATTTAAAAGCAATCTACTGCCTACGTGCTGTGGCGTGCCCCTGTAGTCCCAGCACTTTGGGAGGCCAAGGTGGGAGGACTGCTTGAGGCCAGGAGTTCAAGACCACCTTGGGCAACATAGTGAGATACCATTTCTAGAAAAAAGTCTTAAAAAATTAGCCAGGTGTGGTCCCAGCTACTTGGGAGACTGAGGAGAGAACATCACTTAAGCCCAGGAGTTTGAGGCTGTAGTGAGCCACAGTTCCACCACTGTACCCCAGCCTGGGCAACAGAGCGAGTCCCCAACCCTTAAAAAAAATTTTCCTAAAGGTCTGTGTGGTATTCCTTGGAGGGGTGCAGACAACAGGGTTTTGAGAGATAAAGGCTCAGTCACCGCCTAGTGCTGTAAAGAAAAGCAGATCTTTATTTAGTGAGGTTCTGTTGGTAGCCCAAACCAGTCTCACTCTCCTTACCCCACAATAAAAAATGGTATTTTTTTTATCTTACCGATTTCATTTCAGGTTCACACAAGAATCAGCTTGGAAGGAGAAGAAAGGAAGGTGGGAATAGGGAGTGCCTACCTTGATGGCAGAAACACAAAGAACAAATAGAAAGAAATGCTGCTTGACAAAAAAACTCTGAAATCACTTGGCTGGTAGTGTGTCGCATGGACTCCCTCTCCCAGGGAGTCCTCAAGTCAGCCACTTGCGGATGTCCTTAGCAAGTCTCTTATCTGTCCTGTTTTGCAGCTGTAGAGAAGTAAGGAGACACTATGAAGAGACACTTACGGATGTGAGAGACTGGGATGGAGGCCGCCTCCCGGTAGCTTTTGGTCTGCTTGTGGTTGGGTGACTGAGTTTCTCAGTAGATGACACCACGGAGTCAAAACCTTCTAGGTCTAAAACAACAGTAAAACAGAGTTTTAAGAGCAAAAATCTAAATGAAGAAAGTTTCTTATAATGTGTTACAAGCACCTCTTTTCCTTAACAATCATCCCTTCTGTCTGGATTACATGTCATCTTTTACAAAGGTCATTTACATCCTTTGGTGATTCAATAAAGTGGCTCAAAGTGAATGAAATAATCATTTCCTCCTCAGTTTCACAAACTATAGCATGGAGAAGAGAGAGACATTATTTTTCTTTTCTCCTTCTACAGCTATACTCATAAATCTTTAAAAAGCTACAGAAAGAGGATTAAAGGAAGAATCCTCTTTCTTCCACAAATCCTAGTCTGTTCTAGGACAGAATATTCTTGCGGTCTTGACACAAAAGGCAGTCAGCACAAGGTACAATGGTCATGGGCAAATGGATGCCAGGCATTGATTACAAAAGATAAAAAGAGAAGGCAGGCTTCTTCTCTGGTTGTGTCACGTTAGTAAGGTCATATGTTTTCACCCTGACACTAGACTGAAAACTCCCTAGGGGAAGAGACCAAGCTTCTACCTCTCCAGAGAATTCACGGAGCCTGGCCCCATTCGGCATCACTCAATGGAGACAGTATCTTCTTCAGTCACCAGTTTGTTCACTCATTCATTCACTGTTACTGAGAGATGATTTCGTGCCACACAGAGCACTAGATATTGAGGCGATGCCCACAAACACAGCAGAAATGAGCTCTTCCCTCAGAAAGCTTACATCTCAGTGACTGATGCACAGATGAACGTAGAATCATTCAGTCACATTGTCATTCACCTGGCATGGGTCCAAAGGAAGGCAGCTTTTGCCACCCTGTTCAACAAATAATTAGGCCAAGCAGGTACACAGTTCCATAGAGTTCTGGTGATTTTCACTCCAAGTGTGAATGTATGTGTAATGCTCAAAGGAATGGCTGGCAGAGAAAGGCCAGCCCTGAGTGCCATCATTGCTCGTGACTGGGACAACGCCATTTCTTTCTGACAAGTAAACTGTTTCAAATGCCATGGAAGGCACTGCCTTCCCAAACAGTTCCCTGCTTTCCCTTCTAACAGAGCCCCAGTTTTGCTTCAGGACAATGTGCCCAGTTGCTGGTCTAAATCATGCTTGGTCTAAGCCAATGATGGCAATCCTGTTCCTCTTTGCTTATGACTGGTCTAGAAGTGGCTGTGTAGCCTATTTGAGTTACCGAGAAATAAAGAGAAATCTATTGAGAGCCTATGGGAAAGAGATTTCCTCTCAGGCTAGAAAGGCAAGCAAGGAGAAGGCCTTTTGTGTTGGTGTCTCTCTTCTTTCCTGCTTGGGATGCTATTGTGTAAAGACAGGCTATCTGGAGCTGTGGCAGCCATCTTATGACCAAGAGGAGAGGCATGGCCAAAGCTCTTGGCGAGCTTGAGGATGGCAAGGAAGAACAATGGGAGGAGCTCGGGTGACAACTCCGATGAGCTGTCCACTAAACCTGGAATGATCTAGCACCCAGAATTTTTGCCATGTGAAATTAACAAGCCTTTGTTATTTCAGTCAGTTTTAATCAGATAGTCTTTACTTGGAGCTGAAAGAGGATCACAACTGCCATAACTGCAAATATGCTGGCTCAGGACAGAGAAGTTAAAATTATGTGTGCAGCTGGGCTCAGTGGCTCAGCCTGTAATCCCAAGCTTTGGGAGGCTGAGGTGAGTGGATTGCCTGAGCCCGTGGGTTCAAGACCTACCTGGGCCACTTGGCGAGACCTCATCTCTACAATAAATCAAAAAATCAGCCGGGCGTGGTAGCGCATGCCTGTAATTCCGGCTACTCGGAAGGCTGAGGGGGAAGGATCGCTGGAGCCCAGCAGGTGGAGGTGCGGTGGCCAGGAGCAGCCACTGCACTCCAGTCTGGGTGACAGAGTGAGACTCCAACTCAAAAAAAAAAAAAAAAATTATGTGTGTTCCCCCCACCCCTTATTTTGAGGAGAACTTTTTTGCTAATAGTTATAAGAAGTGGTCTAGCTATGTTATAGCTTTATGCTGTTAATGAATAGGCAGGTTAGTTACCTGCAAACTATTTCCTTTAGTGGAATATGCAAAACCAAGCACAAGTCACCAGTCAGGAGAAGCCATTAAATTACACCTAGGATTTTATTAAGTGACATTATCCCATTATCCCAGTACCTGGTGAATGAATAATTACTCAATTAACTCTTGTTTAAAAAAAAGAGAAGAAACTCCTCTTATCAGGGTAAGGCAAGTATAACCAAAGGTTAACCATCTACAGGATGGAGTAAAGAGAAACTGAGGCCCAGGGGAGGCCGATTCATCTAGCACGGGAATGAGGTTCATAAAATAACTACCTCTGTAGCTGACTAAGCAGGGTTCCAGGAGGACCCTAGGCCAGAGGAGGGCAAAGAGCCCCAATGCTGAGATGTACTTCTCTGGTGCACACTCTCTGGCCTTTCTTTTAAGAGAACCTTATTTTTGTCAAGGGTTCTCCTCCAGACTCTAATCTTGGACTTGCCTCTAGCCACTCCATATTGTCTGAAGTAGAAATTCCCCATTCCACACTTGGATGGATGCAAAAAGCCAACATCTGACATTAATATTCCCCCAATTTGCCTTTTTGAATCACTTTTTCTTCAATTACAAAATAATATATCATCAGTGTATAATTTTTTGAAAATATGTGAAATGTTTACAACAAAAGAAAGTCAACTATAATCTTATCACATCAGGACAACCACTGTCAGTATTTTGGTATATTTTCCTCCAGGCCTTCTTCTATAAAAAGTATAGGTCATGCTGTGCTGTATATAATATACCAGCATAATATAATACTGCATCCTGCTGATTTCACTTATAAGCCATATCTCTAAACATTCTTTATAAACATTTTCACTGCTGCATAATCCTCCATTGCACTGCAAATCATGATTTATTTAATGAATCCCTATTTGTTGGATAATTCATTTCCAAATCATTCCCTTCTCCTATGTTTTGCTACTATAGAAAAGCACTGCACAAATATCCTTGCATGTACTTTACATGCAATGAGTTTAGCAGGTTAACCATGTAAACTCCCAACTGTTCTGGAAGGAATAAGGTCAGGACAAGGAGGTTTGCTGGGGGTGCTGGTTAGGGAGGACAGGAGGGGCCGAGGAAGGCTAGGGGAGAGGACAGAGGACACAAAACCGAGGCGCAGTTGTCAAGGAGGCAACCAGGGGAGGAGGGGAAAGAGAGGGCCGTTAAAGGTTTTGACAAACAGGCTGCTGCCAAGGGCCTTGGCTAGGCGCTACCAGGGCAGAGCTGGGCAACCTGTATCATTGCTCTGTCCAGAAACAAAAACAAGTTCTGGAGGCACAGCCTCAGCAGGGTGAAGTGACAAAAGGATAATTCAAGGCTAATTAGCATTGATTCTCCACCTTGGCTGCACAGCAACATCACTTGGATGATCAAAAAACAACAATAAAAACGTATCCCTGGATCCCATCCCAGAATTGACTCGACTGGTCTGAGGTGCAGTCTGGGCACGGTAGGCATCCATCTCCCCAGGTGATGTTAATATGCAGCAAAGGCTGAGAAGCAGTGCTCAGCAGAGGCTGGGGGTTGAGGAAAGGTGGGGATAAATAAGAATTTGATCAAGCAGTGGAGTGGAAAGGCCACCAGGTGACTGACAGGGTGTTCCAGGGTCCAGTGAGTTGAGAGCACGCCTGGGTGAGCTCATCAGCACGGTGGGGGCCTCCGGAGCCGGGCTGAGTGCTGGCCCGATTTGGAGGACAACAGAGATGCTGGAGCACTTGATGAAAGTGGTGGCCAAACACTCCATGATTGGTGACAGGTCAGACACACTGTAGCTGGAGCAAGGAGGAGGCCTGAGAAGTGACCTAGTGTGCTGAGAGAGATGGAGGAGGAATGCAGGGAGCGAGGGGAGGGGATGGGACTGCCTCAGGCCCCACTTGGGATGGACTTGACAAGTCCGCCTTCGTGCAGGGGTGGACAAGTTTACACCAGGACACTTTCATCAGAACTCCCGGAAGGACTCCATCTTCCCTTTCCACTCACCCTCCTTGGCCCACTGAATTAATTAAGTCCACCTGGGAGTTTAGGGTTTGACAAGGTGTGAGGAGGCAGTCTGGAATGAAGTGTACTTTCAAAATGACTCAGGAGTGTGGTGTCCGCCTCCTGCACTTAGGCTGTGAGCCCCAGGAGGGCAGGAACTCATCTTTGTGTTCTCAAAGTCTAGAATATTCCTGGGGGAAACACGTTTGTTATTCTGTCAATGAAGGAACATGCATACAGATGAACAAACTATATCAAGAAAAAACCAGGAGCATAGCTTATAGAGGTGGCTCCCAGCAGGATGTGAGCTGGCAGCTTCAGGGTGGAGGAGGCGTTCTGTGCCATGGCCACGGAGAAGGCTGACTGGCCCATTTTGTTTAACTGGCTGAGACTTGCATTAAAAAGACCTATGCATGCTGAAGCCTGGCCATGCTTAGCAAGCATCTCCATGACAGATGGCAGAGGAGACAGCCTCATTCCTGTTTCTCAAGAGTAAGAGGAGGGTCTGAGTCCCTCAGGGGGAGTCACACTTAACCCCTTAATGCACATTTTTGCTAAGTTTAACTTTCTATAGTTTTAGTTTGTAAAGAGCACATTTTAGAAACAGCAACCAAACCAAACTGCCACGGAGAAAAAGATGCACCAAGTATGAGGTCACTTGCCGAAAAGGGAACCTGAGGTCATCCCTGTATGTTTCCACAGACCATGAACTGCAACACACCTCTGCTTTCTGACAGTGAAGGGGAGTAACTCTTGAATACTGTCACATCACTTCAGTGGCACAGAGCATGCTCCTCATGACTATGCCCATGGTAGCTGTGATTAAGGCAGAATTTCCATGACTAACCCATCGTGGTGCGAAGAAAATGTCCCAATTTTCATGGTGGTTTTGAAATGAATCAAGTCGAAACTTGATATGAGCTTTCTTAGCCTGGCTGGGAGTTTTTCCTCTTA